CATGTTTTCCGTCCCGTTTTTGCTCATTTCTCGGAGGCAAAATGAGCAAGAACGCTCATTTGTACATCATTCTAGACAGAAATAAATGGGCTTTTTGTTGTTCCTCAAATCAAAAACATTTGAGGAACAACACTGCAGTCTTGCTCGTACTTTGGCAATTTCCTCAAAGGGTGTGTAGCAGCAATGCGCGAGGACACGTGCAAGTAAAACAGGGGTGGCGTGAGTGAACTCATCTATTAATTTTAACTGGGTTTTGAATCTCCCTAAAAATACGCAAGGCATTGCGTATACTTAAGGGCATTACGTGTGTAGTACCTAAGTGCTAATATCCCTAATCAAAAAAATAAAATCTGACCTAGTGAGTTAAATAAAATATAAAAGTTAAATTTGATGTGCTCCCTGGTTATCGGACTATAACAGCAAACAGCCAATTTCCCTCCTGCGATTTCCAATTAACCCGATTAAAACTTGATTGAAAATACCGAAATCGATATAACGATTGCCCTGTCCGTTTGCTCCTTCTGTGCGCCAGGTTTGCGTCAGTTTTTCGCTCACACCAGGGAAAACACCCAGTTGGAGTGGTTTATTTGAAAACCGCACATTAACGTGGACAACAACGAAAAAAAACTAAATAAAAAACGCTGAGAATACAGAAAACTCTAAATACGGCCGTGCTGAAAGTGTATTGATCGAAGCAATGTATAAGGGTGATTCCATCCCCCTCGAGCCAAACAGTGCCCGTTCGGACGAGAGTCGCGTCGCATGAATCGAAATAATTAACCGATGATATGTCGTGATTGTCGCGTAGCATCAGAATGTCGTCAATATCAGCTCAAGGTGTCGTTGAAAGAGCCTCAGCGGAACTCTCCAAACGGATCAATGGCTTGGGACTCAGAAGTAGTAAACATCACTCATCCAAAGGAAGCGTCATGGAGCGGGTTACCAACGTTTTCTGTGGCGGAAGTAGTGCCGCGGTTACCGCTCCAGAGAAACCATCCAGACTGCTCCCGTCCAGAGGGTATCAGAAGAACGTTCCCGCTCCCAGTCTGCCACCGGTTCGCAAGACTAAACCCTCACCTGTTCACCTGACATGGGATCAGCTGATAATGGACGAGAAGTTTCTGAGCAGGTTCTTCTTGTACTTCAGCCCCAGCGAACGGTGCCTCCTGGCTCAGGTCTGCATGCGGTGGAGGGACATTTTATATCGGTCAACACGGTACTGGACAGGTCTGATCCCGGTCTTGCAGTGTCGGGAATTGAGAGGATTCCAAGTGAACGAACGGGCCAGATTGTACAATTCCTTACTGAGGAGAGGCTTCCACAGTTTGTGTCTAATGGGGGCCACAAACGAGGACGCCCTGGATCTCATCAACACATTCCCATTGGCTTCGAAGCATGTACATACACTGAAGCTGCGATGCTCTAGTATAGGCGACCAAGGTCTGGAGTCTTTGATGGATCATCTTCAGGTAGGTTCAATAAATC